TATATATAGGGACTCATTATTCTACATTGTAAATAATTTTTATTCATATCAATTAAGGAATTAATTTTGTGAGTATATTTTGCTTTCAATTCCTTGTTCTTCATTGAACAAATTTAGAACTTATCAAGAATTATTTTCTTGTGGCATTCAAACAATTTAGGTAAGATTCGTGAGTCTTAAGATCAAGGAATCAACATATTGTCGGTGATTGTGTTGGTTATTTAGTACAATATTTCTAAATCAAACTTGAAACTTTGATTTATTGGCTTTCTTGGGTTCAATTCAATCTTTTATGAGTTTCGTAGATACTATTGAAACGTGGATTAGCTATCAGTTGATATTAGAATTTAGACTCTAAAAATCAAGATTATATCATTTTTTTCCTTTTGTTTGATTCCTTTATTTCTTATCTTTCGTTCTTCGTGTTCTTTATCTTTCTTGAGTCTCTAATCCATAAAAATACCAAAAAAATTAAAAGTTGTTTTTGTACTTATTTAGTATCCAAATCAGTCTTTGTTTTTTTCGCTGGTAGTATAGTTGAATTTTCGAGCAAAAAAATTCGAAAAAAAACCAATAGCATACAATTTCATATTCGTTGAGTCAAAAAAAGAAAAAAGAAAAAAAGAATACATATATATCAGTTTCGTTCAACCCAAAATTCAAGAACTACTTTCTTGAATTCCCATCCAAAATTGTTCAATTCATTGCTTGTTTCTTTTCTTTTCTTTCTTGAATCTTCCAAAGTTATAATTTTCACTCACATCTTAATTTGAATTTTTCAAGAATAAAACTTGGTTGAAATTGAATTAATTCTTTAAAGCACTTGGGTGAAAGCATTGAGTGAAAAAAAAGGCAAGAGTGATGAGACTATTAGAGGGAAAAAGTCAGTTTGAGTGATACACGAGTGTAAACACGTGAGGCATATATTACTTTGGATCTAAGATGTCTGACCGAGATGATTCAACATCAAGTAGGAACAACAATCAATTCAACATGTCGAAAGAGGTGATATGACAGTTTGAGAAGTTGTTTGAAGATGTAAGGACAAGTTGGATAGGCAGAAGGCGTGGATGGAAAGACAATACCCATTGCTTGCCAATTTACATAGGGGAATTCCTAATGCAAGGAGACAAGGTAAGCGAAAGCCTAAAGTAAAGAGTCATAGTGATTATGAATTGGTTAGTGGTATGGATGGGGATACAATAGTGGATGTTGAATCAGGGAGAATAAGAGATAGAGGAGTTAGGCATGAAATGAGGGATAGAGAACTTATTGGAGATAGAGTTGATGGAAGTATGAGCAATATCAAAATGACAATTCCATCATTCAGAGGAATGAGTGATCTGGAAGCCTACTTGGAGTGAAAAAAGAAAGTAGAATTGCTATTTGATTCCACAAATACTCGGAGGAAAAGAAGGTGAAGATTATGGTACTTGAGTTCATCGATTGTACTATTACTTGGTGGGAACAAGTAGTGATATTTAGGAAGAGGAATCGTGAGAGGCAAATTAATACATTGGAAGAATTAAAAGCTATCATGAGGAAACGGTTCGTGCCTAGTCATTACTATAAGGAGTTTCATCAAATATTATAAAGCCTCTACTAAGGGTCTAAGAGTGTGGAGGATTATCATAAAGAGACAGAGATAATGATGATTAGATCGAATGTTGAGGAGGATCGAGAGGCCCTATGGCTAGATTTTCGAATGGCTTGAATAGAGAAATTGCTAATATAGTGGAATTGCAACATTATGTTGAGCTAGAAGACATGCTACATGTAGCTATGAATATGGAGATGCAATTGAAGAGGAAGGGGACCGCTAGGTATCCATCGAGTTCTTAAAGACCTAACGTTTCTTGGAAACTGAAGTGGGATAACAAAAGAGAAATGGGGTTGTTTCGAAGGGCATAATTGAACCCCAAAAGTAAAAAGAGGAAAGTGCTAGTAAGGTCACATCCAAAGTAGAGTCCCAACTTTTTAGAAATCAGGACATCAAATGCTTTAAATGCTTGAGATCAGGGTACATTGTTGTTCAATGCCCAAACAAAAGTGCAATGATCTTGCATGATAATGGGCATGTAGTGAGTGATAGTGATGGAAGTGAGATGCTTGAATTAAAGGATGCTAGTGATGGTGAAGTAGTAGAGTACCCGGTCGAATGTGAAGCACTTGTGGCGACATGTGCTCTCAAAACACAAGTCGAAGTGGATGATGAAGAGCAACAACGGGAGAACATCTTTCATACTAGATGTCATGTCAAAAACAAGGTATGTAGTTTGATCATTGATATGGTAGTTGTACTAATATTGCTAGTACCATGCTTGTTGAGAAATTAGGATTGACTACGATAAAACATCCTAAACTTTATAAATTGTAGTGGTTAGATGAATGTACGTAGAATTTCTCGATTGGGAGGTATAGTGATAAAGTGATGTGTGACGTAGTTCCTATTCATGCTGGGCACATTTGTTGGATAGGGCATGGTAGTATGATAGTAATATGAAATATAATGGATTCAAAAATATGTACATCCTTACTAGAGATGAAAAATCTATTATTCTTGTGCCATTAGCACTAGTACAAGTGTATGAAGATCAAATTAAATTTGAAACGTAAGGAAAAAAGAATGAAAGAAATAAAGAGTCGGAGAGAAAATGGTGAGATGGCTAGTAGTTAGAAAAAAGTAGAGCCAAAAGAGCGAAAAGAAAAAGAGTCTCCTGAGAGGAGAGAAAAGTAGAATATGAGTTTCTATGCAAAAATGAATGAGATTGAGAGTGCTTTGGTGAGAACTAACAAACCCCTCTCCTCTCTGGACATTTCTTTATTACAGAAGTTCAAAGACTTGTTCCAGAAAGACTTAATTGGTGGGACACCACCCATTGAATGTCCAATTAATTTGATGAAAGTGGAGAATTTGATAGGCATTGAAGGAGGAGCATTCAACGATGACATGGTAAAGTATTAATACTCCATACATAGGTTGGATGATGATCTAGCACATAGGAACAGTATTTCACATGAGGCACGTACTTTTACACATGTTGGTGCGTCTAAAACTTCAATGAGAATTATCAATCAATTGTTACATGCATTCATAAGCAATCATATACTAGTATATAATATTCTAGTATGTTGCAAAACCTTAACTGAGTATGATAGACAATTGGAGTACATTGTTGGCGATGAGGCATGAGAATTTATATTCGATATTGAAATCCTTAACAGGTTTTGTCCGAATTTATGGAGTATGTGAAAAACTAATTTATTATCCTCTAATACTTCTACTACATGTTTCAATATGGTTTATGGATTAAATCCATTTACTTTGTTTGATTTAATTCCTTTAACTAATATTGTAAGTAATAAGTTAGATGGAAAGCGGGGGATTGAATTATATGTATCTCAAAGTAGCAAATGGAAAAGGTGTAAAGTATTCAAACTAGGTGATTGGGTTTAGATGCATAGGTGAAAAAGGGTGTGTTCGAATGCATAGGATGTCAAGGCTTCATTCTAGAGGAGATGGATCATTCCACGACATTTCAAGAATTGAAAGCAATGGTTATAATTTAGATCTTCAAGGTAAGTATATTATAATTCCTCACATCGATGTCTCTAATGTTGCTTCGTTTGATGTAGGTACGTATTCGAGGTTAAATAATTTCGAAGAGGGAGATGATTATGTGATCCAAAGACAGCAACGAGCTACAAGAGTTTGATGTTTACTAAGGAAAGGCTAAGGGCAAGTTCAAGATTAGTTAGAGACAACAAGCCATGCAATCACTTGTTCGAGCTACGGAGTCAAAAAGGTTGACGTTAACCTGCCAAAGAGCAAGTTCAATGTTGGGCTAGGGAGTGAAAACTCATTGATTCTAAGCGATTCAAGTAAAACACGAAAGAGTAGAAGATAGACAACTATGCGACCACATAGAAGCCAGCAGAAACTTCAACTAGGTAGAAACTTCCTCCTATGCGACCGCATAGTACATCTCGGGATGCGAAAAATTCCAAAATTCGCGAAATCTTTTATTTTAGTTAGAACTCTATTTTTATGGTAACTTTTGTATTCTTTAGATTTTATTACCGTTTAGGCTAGGAATTTATGGATTTTCTATATACAGGACTCATTATTCTACATTGTTAACAACTTTCATTCATATTAATTGAGAGATTAATTTTGTGAGTATATTTTGCTTTTAATTCCTTGTTCTTCATTGAACAAATTTCGAACTCATAACAAATTATTTTCTTGTGGCATTCAATCAATCTGGGTGAGATTTGTGAATTTTGTGATCAATGGGTCAACATATTGTCGGTGATTGTATTGGTTACTTTGTAAAATATTTCTGAATCAAACTCAAAATTTTGATTTATTGGTTTTCTTAGGTTCGATCAATTTTTCGTGAGTTTCGTAGCTACTATTGCTAAATGTGTTTGCATCAGGTAGTGCCCACAATAAGGTGAAAATAGATAACAATATGTGTATAACACACTTTATTACAAGTGGTGTTGATTGCAAGGTCACAATAGAAGTAGGTAATGAAAAGTGTATAACGTAATACAACACCAAAATGGTATTTTCGAGAGTAAAATAAGGATGATTTCATTTTGTTAAAAATAGCTCAGAAATAAGTCCTTTTTGGAAGATATTAAAATTAGTTTTTTAATAAATTTTGATAAAATATGCGATTGAAAAGTTGTTATTTCGATAAAATACGTTATTAGAATTAATGATTCACCTTGATTTTAGGTTGCGTTTGAGCACTTTTAATTTTGAAAAATGTATTTTGAAATAGTGGATTGAGGGAGAATATGTGATTAAAAAAGAAGAAAATATTTTTGGCTTACGTATAATATTATTTTAATAAAAAATGTGTAGTTAAAAATAATTATTTTAAAAATAATAATGTGATAGAATGCAAATGGGACTTAAAATTTTCAAATCGGGCCAGACTTTTTCCCCAAAATATGAATTTCACACTCACAAGTCACAATATAGGTAACCTGTTTCAACGTGGTGAAGTTAAGCCTTATAAAAGCTTCGCTCCTCTCTCTCTCAGATTTTATCTCTCTATGTCCGCAGTTTCTCCCCCATTTGGGAAAACTCTCTCTATCTATCTCTCTAAATCGACTCATAGCAATTCGCCCACAAGCATTTGAGTATATATCAATTCTATTTTGCGTGTTCTCTGTTTGATTTTGTACATCTAGGGTTTCAGATTCGAATGTGAATCTTTTGTAAGTAGTGGGTTGTTTAAGTGAGGGAAGCTAAGATTTTTCTTCGACTATAGTGCATTTTGCTGCAGTTTTAGGGTATAATTAATTCGATCTGTGCTCGAATGGATTCAACAACATCTTCCTCTTTGCCAATTGCGAGTAGAGATGCCGAGGCTGCGGTGGGGACTGTTTCCGATTTTGCTCTGTCGGTTACTGCTGGGTTCGCTAAGGAGGCTACCTTGCGCTTCCAAGCGGGGAAGTTCGCGGACTGTCTGAAAGTCTTGAATGAGCTCTTGCGGTTAAAAGAGAACGATCCAAAGGTGGTTTAGTTTCTGAAATCATGGATTATGGATTATCTCATTTGTATTGTTTGTTGATGAATTGTATTTAACTCCCGAGTTTAATATTTGTTTCTGTTCATGTCGGGATTGGAGCTGATTTTTTTTTTCTTGTGCATGTTGGGAAATTACGCGTCCAGGGTTTAACTGAAATGGACTTAATGACTGAGATATTAACAAATAGCATTTTTGTTCTAATTGCAGAAATCATATTTTTAAAGTTGCTACACTAGTAATTCTACGGTACTTCATTATAGAGTCTGAGTTATTTTTGAGGTGCAGCACATTATTTTTAAGTTCTTATGCCTGATAGTTTGCATTTTTATGATTTTTTGGGGTACTTGGTAGACGAACTAATCATATATGGAACTGTCATTGTGCCTGGCTTCTTTGTCTGGGATTGTGAGGCAGTGGTCAAAATCTAGTTTAGTCCTTGTGTTTTGAGATGTGTGGCAACACGCTTATATTGATACTTCTAGAAATTATTGAAAATGTGGTGGAATTTTAGTGCCTAATGAAATGAGATTTTTCTTCAAAGACCTTTTTTTGGAAGGCCAAGAGGAAATACTCAAGAATTTACAAAATGTACATTTAATTCTTCAATAGCCATGGCAAAGAGTTTTCTAATTGATCAACTCAATCTTAAACTCGACCTCCTACTCAATCAACTCAATCCTCAACATGACCAACTTGATCCTCAAAATCAAGCCCCTACTCGATCAGCTTGATCCTCAACTTGACTGGGTTGAGTTGATGAAAACTCTGTATGTATATATATACTGTTCTGCTTCACTCCCTCTTCTCCTTGTTTATCTTCAGTTAGGTGGAAAACTCATAGTTAAATGCTAGAGATCTAACTTACATTTACTCCCTTAAAATTTGTACGAATTTCTAGTACATACGAGAAATTTATCATCTGTAAGCAGGGGAATAAATTTGAAATTGTGGAAGATGGACTAAGCCCTTGTTTGATCCCATTATTTCCAAAATGTATTTTTCCCTCTCTTCTTTTCAATCGCACATGTTTTCATAGAATAATATTACATGCAAATCCAAATTTTTCTTTATTTTTTAACTACACATTTTCCATCAATTTACTATTTCAAAATGCATTCTTAGAAAAAATGGTGCTCAAACAAGCTCTAAATATGGAAGGCTTCTCATAAAAAAAATATTTTTAGAGAAGGATGGTACATTATGAACTTTCCTCTAATGAGATTAGGGCTGGACATGGTCCGGTTTAATTCAGTTCTAACGAGAACCGAATTGGACCCGACCCGAAATTTTTTGGTATTTAGTAAATGGAGCCATTGGGTTCAAATTTACTTATGGAACCGTTCAAGTTCGATTTTATTCTGTTTAGATCAGTTCGATTCGGTTTCCAGGTTTCGTATTATAATTAAATTTTTTAATATTTATAAAATTACATTAATTCAATTAATGGTATGTTCAATCTAGCTCTTATAAAATAACGTAGTCTAATCTTATGTGTCTTTTGTGGCTTTTTTTGTCGAGTTTTTCATAGATTTGATTGTTAAAATCATCGAAAGAGGAAGATAGCGAGTTCAAAATAATTAAGAGAGGCGTTGTTGAACTTCAATTCGATTTTTTCAGAATGGGTAGAAACGGTACTACGATAGAGTAACAAATTTGGATAAAGCTTAGATCAATTTGATTAAGTTGGCTTTGAACTGAAAATTAGAAATAGGAAAATCATATTTTTGAGTTTGAACTAAATTAACTAGTTAACAAATTTATTTAGAATAAATAAAATAATTGGGTTATTTAAAATAAATTAATTAAAAAAATTAGGGAGATTCGGTTCTTATTCGGTTATTCGGTTCTTGATCTAGAATTGAGAACCTAACCAAATCTGTCGGTTCTCGATTTAGATATCCGTTCGAGTATTTAACTTAAGAACAACCACTCGGTTCGGGAATTTTGTCTTGCCCTAAATGAGATTAGGTGGTAGTTGATGACGAGAATAATTATTACATCCTACTCAGGCATCAGAGATCTTAATGCTTTAACCATGTGAATTTATTTGGTCAGAGTGTGCAACTGACATTTCCTTCAGTTGAGAACAATGTCATATAATTTTACCCTTTTTCTACAGAATTTCTTGTACGGGACTAATAAAAGTTTTGTTTGGGTCAGTGAAAGAAGTAGGACACATGACAATTTATATTTTCAAGTTCTCTGGGCTGTGCAAAATAAGGTTTGGGTCGGCAGTTGTTGTTAGGGTGTCAATAGAGCTGGAGGCATCTGACATAATACAAACCACTTGTTTTGTTTCTTTTTGCAAACTAAAGCAGAAAAAGCTAATTATTGGAGTTGGATGTGACTAAGCATGATGGTCAATTTCTGAAAGATATGAATCGCTTGGAAACTAATTTCAGCTGATACATTTGAGCTACCGGATTATGTGTGGGCTATATTTGCTGATTGGATTATTTGTCTTGGTTCATTGTTTGAAGATTCATGTTATACCACGTGATGTCTCATTGTACAAGCCATTGATTTGTGTGGGTTATTTGAGTTCATGCTGATTGAAGTGGCTGATCAAATACATGTCAGATGCTAACCCACACAAATACGGTTTAAGATTCGGTTGCACTAAGAATGAGATTGAATCTACCATAGATTGAGGTGGCCAGTAACTATATGGAGTTCTACTATCAGAGTCTTTTATGTGTACTGTGTTAATTAGTCTGCTACGAGACAGAAGATCTTGAGCATTTATATAGGAAATTATCTGGTTTGCTTGACATAAAATCATTCTTAGATTTCATCTCAAAAACGTGTATTATCAGATTGGACTGTGTTACTTTTGTATCACATGTCAGTTACATATGATTTGCCAGGCCTTGTTTAGGTCTATGCGTGACATTCCCCAATTGTTTAATCTTCTTTTGCTTACTTCATCCGTTGGTATCTGCTGATTGAAGATTTGAAATATGTTCTCATTTCTTTTCCTGAAACCATCTTAAGATGCTCGTTTCCACTATTTTCATCTCCAAGATATCTTTAGTACTGAAAATCATAGCAGGTCTTCTAAGTTTTGTAATAATATAGCCTTTTCCGAATTTAGTAAATGTCATTACATCTTAATATGATAATTTTTCTGCCTACATCTACATCCATCTTTCTTTGTGTTTTAAAATCATCCTTGTCGAGCACATTGTATTGTACTAAAGTAAGCTCTTATTTGATCCCTATTTTTTCAAAATACATTTTTCTCTTTCTTCTTTTCAATCGCACATTCTTTAATAAAATAATATTAAACGCAAATCTAAAACTTTTCTTTATTTTTATACTGTACATTATCCATCAATTTACTATTCCAAAATGCATTCTACACCAAAAATGAGGCTCAAATAGGTGATAAAAATTGTATTGTTTTGGTGAGTTTCGTTTGAGAGCATGGGTATATATTTGGATTTTTATACAAGCACACACATCATCTTTTCAGAGAATTATTATTATATATTACTTTGTTTTGAGCTATGTTGCACAGTCACGGACTTGCATGTTGGACGCGACACGATGTGGACACCTTGAACATGTTAATTTAAAAAAAAAAAAAAAAAAGTAGGACATGGACATGCCAGGGACGCATTACTTTAAATTCTTAAAATTGTAGATTTATATATTCTATGTTTTTTTTATCCTTTTTATCTTTTAATAGAATCGATTTTTTTCTTAGTTTTGATACTTATTCATGAAATCTTTTAAATTATATTAAAATAACTTTATGTTAAACTAGATATTACATTGTTGGCAAATGAAACTTACATATAGTATATGTCATGAAGTGTTGGTGATCGTCATGAAACACGAAATGCGTTGGACACGAACACAAACAATGACACAAACAGCACCAGCTAGAGCGTACATGCATCATAGGTTGTGAGAGTGCCAACTACATGAGATAGACTTCTCCATAAAAAAAACTTTATGCCATTGCGTTTTTAAATGTAATTTTAATTAACTTCAATTTCTATTATAGATGAATACACTTAATATAGAAAAATATTTTGCAATATAGTACTAATAAGTCCGGTTGCATTGTCAAACTTTACATTGTCAGTATCTGACATATTAAAACATTATTTTGCTCTAATTATTTCTTTTAATTGTTGATTTCTTTTACTTTCCCACTGTCACAGTTCAAAGGCTATGTCCGAGTTGGTAATACATGCATATTTATCAATTTTGTTGCAGTAAAATACAATCGAGCAGAAACATATTCCTCCATGTGGTGGGTCACTTCATCAGTTTGAATTGCTGTTGCTTTTTCTTCTGAAAAAAATTGAAATGACAGCTGTAGTCCCAGTGCCTATATCTTGTTTTAACATATTGTACGCATTAAAGTACATTGATATTTATATCTCATAATTTTTTAGCCGATGAGACTGTAAACCCAATTCTTTGTTTTGTATAATTTCCATTATTCATCTCATTTTGTGCTTCTAATTTGCAGTTTGCAGTTTCTGATGTTTTTTCTAATGCTAATTAGTTAATATGTTTTCATTTTAGGTTCTTCATAACATAGCAATAGCGGAGAACTTCCAAAATGGTTTTCCAGATCCTAGAAGGCTTATTGAAGTTCTTGAAGATGTTAAGGTTTGTGGTTATATGATATTTGCATTTCTTATCTTTTTCTCGTTCAACACGTGTACCTATCTGCATGTGGATATTGTCACATCTACCTTCAACTATATGTACTTGGCAAAAGCTACTGCAAATTTTTCTTTCTATTGCTGTAGCTAGAATCGGTATGTTCTGAGGAGGTGCAGAATGTTGAGTTTCTACATTCTTTCTTTTGACACTTCTGTTTACAGATAGGAAAAAAGAAGAAGGTACATTCCATGCAAAAAATAATATGCTAGGCGCACTCATTTGAGTGAAAATTTTGAATGAGATCATGCTACCTTGAAAATCAATGGTGTTCTCTGTAGTAGTTCCAAGGGGTTGGTTTACTTTTGGTCATGCTGCTCAGTTAGTAGAGCACCTGGTTTACACGTATTGCCTTTGACACGTTATGTCATAGTTCTTCAATTTTAGAATATCCTTAAAATGCAGTGGAATGTCTTTGCAGATAGGAGAAAGCCTTGTTTGGGATTTTGTATTTTAGGCGATAGCGAGTTATTAAATTCAAGTTTCCCTTTGGGAATATCGTAGGACAGGATGTTCTAGGTGACCTTATGTCCCCGAGAGTTCGAAACA